AGATGGAGGTCTCAACATTTTGCCTGGGCTGGCTTTTAACTGCAATAACTCTGACCTCCTTCTCCTGAGTTTCTGAGATTACAGTGTGAGTAACCATGCCTAACCCTAATAATCCATTTTTATCTTGCTAACTAATTCATAAAAATTTCAATGGCTATCTACAATAAAGACTTATCTAAAAAAAACTATATCAATAAATATGTAAGAGCTAAGACAATTCATTTTTTGAAATAATCACACAATACTGAACCTGTTACACGTGTTGATCAATAAATCCCTGATTCTGCATCAGTTGAGACTGGGAACAACCTTATTTGTTACTGCTACTGTCTTACAAAGCCTTACAACAATGCTAACAAACTATTAAATAATTGTCTCTGAAAGAAAGGTTTTTAAAGAGACAAAGTATTAATATAGATCAATAATACAAAGATATTCACAAGAAGATAAATTGGAAAATACACTTGGCCAAAGAATATATTACTGATCTCTGACAGACTACAGTTTATCATAGATGTAATGCTAAAAAATATCATTCTTATAATTATCATTTTAATAAAAGTATTCCGCAAGTCACTTAGAGATATGGATAGTGGTTCTTAAAGGTTAATAAATACATCTCCCCCATTTCCTTTATGTTTCTGATCTTAATAAGAGTGACTTTTCCTGACTACTCTGGGGAAAATGGAAACAACCCACCCCACCTTCCACTTTTCCCTTGCTTGTTTTATTTTTCTCCATAACTCTTAACATCATATGGCATATCAATATCTATTTGTGTGTCATCTTCCCATAAAAACTGAAATGTTATTTAGTCCATTAGCACTAGAGCAGTGTCTGGAATGTAATAGGTGATCAAGAACATGTATTTGCATGAATAAACTTTATTGCACACTCATGAATTGCTTTGAATAAACCAATATAATGCACCCTTGACAAGATTTAAAACTTGAATGAAGCAAACTGTTTATGGGATAAACAGTTTTTCTCTATGTAAGACAGAAAGTAGGAATCATAAACAAAATTACATCATTTGAAAAGAGAAGAGAAAGGGTAAACTGACTTGGAAACCCAAGAGACCTCTTTGAGGATGCAGCATTTGAATTATAAATGGAAAAGAGAAGGTATCTATGTGTGAAGATGCAGGTGAAGGCCAACACATAGTGGTAGGAGTCTACAGAGTCAGTTTTGAGGACAATCCACTAGCACAATAAAGGCTAAAATATAGATGGTACCAGGAAAAGGGAGTGGATGACAATCATGTAAATGTCAATGTTACAAGGTCATGTTTATATTCATTTTCTAACTCAGTGACTTTTCAACATTTGTGAACATTAGGAGTTTATAAACATTGAAATGTAATAAGATCTGCATGTGATATAGTTGTCTTTCGGTGTGAGATGTATGGTATCCAAAGCTATTGCAAATTTAGTACTAGCTCTTTAAATTTTCATTTTTTTTGATTGACACATAATATTTGTGCACACTTATAAAGTCCAATTTGATGTTTTGGTTCATATCTGTATATTGGGTTGTAGCTCAATCTTTTAAAGATATGTATTTTAATTAAGCCTATTTTAGAACTTAAAAAGTAACCAAAATGTATGTGTCTATATGAACACCTATGTGTATGAACATATATATACATATTGCCCTTCATTGTACAGGTAATTCTTTATATATTCATAAGGATTCTAAGGCCCATTGCAGTAACTTCACAGGAATCTGAAACACAAACTCAGAGCCACCATCCATTCAACAAGAAACCATCAACCGTGTTTGAGTAAGAGAGGGACACAAGGATGCCTCTGTTGTGGCAGCAGTGAGGAGTAGAGCTGGAAGGTACCTCAGATCCCATAACAATCTGCTAAAGTTACAGAAGAGGGTTAAAGAAGAAGCGAAAGTGTAACCCACAGAAGTAGTTATCATTAGCCAAGATGATGAGTAGAGTACTGTCATGGCTAGTATTCAGAGTCCTGAAATGATCCTATCAAGTATTTCCATATAAAATGGACAAGGTGGATAGAGCTCACCCAAACATACCATTAACAATAAAAATGAATACCTCTTCTAATTTGATAAAATAAGATGAACTGATACAACCAGAATTTAAATTTACACTGTTCTCTTCTCCTATGGTATGAAGATTATAGCATTTATAAAATTCTACATTTAATACCAAAGACAGTATACTCTAGTTTTCTCTAATCTACATTTTGAAAGTCCTTTTTTAAAAGTGTCTAAATGTGTTTTTAAGAGCCCAAAACCCTGTTTTTTCAAGGTCATTTAGAGTTTCAACTAGACGATATTCCTTGTATACCTAATATGAGGTTTTGAAATTTAAACAAAAGCCTCATATTTTAATAAACATCCTTATGAAAATGTTTTATTATGATAAACACAAAAGTAAAAGACTATTTATGTTAATCATATTCCCAGATCAATCTGATAAAATAGGTATGCAAATATTAAGATTTCTTAAACTGTTCAGTACGTTTGGTGCCAAGAAAATTAACATTTGACATATGCAAACATTTGAAATATCACTCTCAACAATTTCCCTATTAAATTGGAAATCATTATGCAGTTATACATAGATAAGCTCGCTTATCTGAATGGATGCTGAGGCTGTACATTTTCCATTATAATTGCTCTCTCAGAAGCAAGCAAAGGGGTACTTTCCTTTCCCTCTCTTTTCTTATATAGGAAATTATAAGTAACCAATCTATACCTGAGTGGAGAATGGATTCCAAATCCCCACGTGAATTCTCAGAGGATTAATGCAAATTATTCTTCAAGTTACCTGTTAAAAGTATCTTTGCTCTCCTTTTTCTCAAATCCTTAACACAGTCACACACACCTTTCCTATTCCTTTTGCTGGATATATGAAAGGAAGTTTCATTATTTTTGCTAAAAGATATTATGTGAAATCATTAAGAAATGAAAAAAATTACAAATTTGATTTATTTATTATTTCAATTTTAAAGAGAATCATAATACTTTCCTTTTCCCACAGTGATATTTTGTTAAGCATGCCAATTATTGCCTTAATTCAAGTACAATTGCCTCTAGGAGAGTTTATGCCTTTTACATGATCAAACACAACATAATACACACACACACACACACACACACAGGATATGACTGAAAATAGAAATAATTTGAATTTTGGTTATGGGATAATTTAGGTATTTTTATATCCCAGTTGGATGGCACACAATTGTATTATATTCCACTTTTACAAATATTATTATGTAAGATAAAAATTCACTTAAGGATTCTATTTGCTTTTATTGCTAGGCTTTCTATATACTTCAATTTTATTATATTCCTGCTGTCTGATATTTTATGTTATTAGAATATAGAAACAGTTAATATGACATAATACAGCTAACTGACACAATTAAACAAAAGTAACACATTAGATTTTAAAAAACTAAACCATTCCAGTACACCCTACTGTGTCCATGCCTGTATAATTATACATCTTCTGACTTGTCTCATGTAATTCACAATTTCTTCCTGCTGCTTAATCGCAGACTTCAGCAAGCACAGTTTAGGGGGAGAGACTCAGTACAATTTTCTGTGAATCCTTTATTTGCAATGTGCATTATAGTGATGATTACCCACAAGGGAAAAAAATGAGGGGGTGTATAAAAGATGCAAGAGTAAAGGTGCAAGATATTTTTTCAAGCACATGCATAATTTAGATTCATTCTTGCAAAAGGAAATCATAAGGAAATTAATCAGCAATGTATTTGTAGACTTCACACTAATAATTTTTATAAGAAAAAAGTAGCATTTACTGTATGTTGTTTCTTGATCACAAGAAAACACTGGTATCAAAAAGCAATCAGGTATATAGAATGAAACTGGCAATCTCAGTTCTCAGAGCTCTCTGTGGTGCATAAAACTTCTTTGAACAAGAAAAATTGTTAGTTTGCAGAGGGGGTCTTACATGAAAGTAGATAAAATAAATTAAAACACTGAAAATTATCAAAAGCCATAGCTTTTTGATGGATTGTTTCTGATAATCTTTCTATATTTTAAATATATTTGATAACATCTAAAGACATTGTAAGAAATAAAAAAAGTGCAGACTTTGACTAGAAGTGCTATTACTTGTTTACAATGGTACACAGAGTCAGTGACAGGCCATTTTGGGTTCAAAATTGTTATACTTACTTTACACAACAGAAAAGATAAAGTGATAAAGAGTTTGACTCACTAGAGAAAGATGTGACTGGAAAGCTTTTCATGAGAGGCATATTGCTTTGCCACACGACAGTTTTATTATAAAACTGATTCTCAGCAACCTCTTGATGGTTTTCAGTTCCATAATCATCTCTGTTGTAGACTTTAGGCCAGAGTAATTGTGCTGCTCCTTTTCAGTCAGAATTAGTTCCTTTAAGGTGGATTGCAGATGCCTTCTTTTAACCCTTTGAAATGATGCCCGTAGTGAATTACATTACAAATATACTCTGGACTAAGAAGTTTGGCAATGAATATCCCGCTAAATTCAGCTAGTCATTCACAATTAACTCTCTCTCCTCCATTCTGAACTGTTTCATTTCCTCTGAGAGTTGGAATTGAAATTGGATGAATAAATAGAAGTTTTAGCCTAGCTTCCTAAATCTTTTCAATAGACTTCCAGGAAAGAAAAATCTATCACTCCTAGAAAAGCGAAAAGGAGAACTGTCCAGTGCTCATGCCTGAATGAAGGATGCTGAGCTAGACTGAAATTGCATTTGATCTGTTTCTCTGTTGATTTTATAAACCTTTCCGAGGGTTTCCATGGCAACAAGCGAATTAGCCCCTCTCTCCACTAACATCTTTCAAGCACGTTACAGGGATAGAGATAAAGGTTAAGTTAAAAAGAGCTACAGGATATTTTCTACTATCAGGATGTATTTGAAGAAGTCATGATTAGTCTTTTAAGAAATCAAGTATGTTTTTTCCCACCACAGTCATATGAAAAAGTTGGGTCGGAATCTACTTACATCTCTGATGTCTACGTTTGCTTCTGTACATGGTCATTCTGAGAAAATCCGACTTTCTAAGAAGTAATTGGTTTGACCACGGAGACAAAGAGACGGGTTGTGCTCCTGCTTTGCAGTAAGACTGTTGCTCACTGACAGAAGGTAACCAGCAATCACACAGTGAAAGCCAGGGTAATACCATTCTCATAAAATTACAGGGGAGATGCTACAGCTTGTAACTTCTGTATCTAATGCAAATCTCCTAGAGAAAATTGTATTATTTTACATTCCCACAACCAATATCAGTTAAGTTCTCTAATAATATCTGCACTATTAAAGCGTTGTGCTTGAGGCAATGTTGAATTAAGAATAGATTCATGTGGCTAGCAAGAATACTGAAAATTTAAATATGAAATATAAAAACCCTTGCTTGGTATTTAAGAATATTTGAAACTATCCTATGGGTTCATATATCTTTTAGCCCCTATAGAATATTATAATTTGTATTTTATCCTGAAACTCTGCTTAGTTTTCTATGAAACCCTGAAGTACTTCATATATCTAATTATTGAAGTAATTATCACTTTTGGTCTTTTCTATACTTCAAACAGTCTGCACTTTTCAGAAAAAGCAAGAATGGCATGTTCTCAAATTTGTATTCTCAGGACCTAACACAGAAAATGCACATGATAGGGTGTCAGGGTCAGAGAATGCCTTACTGTGTGCTATGAACTCTGCTCCTTCTTGCAGAAAGCATTTCCAGAAACTTTGCTCCACACACCCTTTGCAGCATCATTTTAATCCTCAATACTTTACTTTCACTATATCTGGGGCATATACCCACCTGAGCATATTTCACATTGTCACCTCGGGTGGAAGCTGTGACTTCATATGCATTGTACTCTTTCCTCAGAGAACAATGCCTGGAACCCAGCAGACGCTCAGGAATACTACTGCTCCCAGACATTCCAAAGAGTGTATGATGATTTTTTGCCTTTTTGGTGGTACAGGGTTTGAACTCAAGGCTTCTTCTAGGCAGGCACTCTACCACTTGAGCCACTGCACCAGCCAAGTGTATGGTTTTAAAATCCCTTTTATGTGCCAATCAATGTGTCTGAAATTCAGTTTTTATTTAAAATACAGAAGGACCCACACATCACTGAAAAAATTCTATGTACTAAGACTTCCTGATTATGTATTGTTTCATCTTCTACCCAAGAAGCAGAAGTAGGTGTTTTCAATTGTCTATATTATTTCGGTGTTAGCAAACCCAGGTTACTATTGGTAGCTAGGAATCTTATCTTTAAGACTCTTTGTAATAGGATTATTTCAGTGTAAAGAATACTTTGATGCTTAAATAATTACCACATTCAATAATTATAGATATCAAGAATGATACTCAATAAGTTTCTGGCAATACGTATTATATCCAGCTTCCTTAACTTTTGACTAACTACACTCTTTCATAAGACTGTGTCTAAGATCACTATTGATTATAGCTTAAAAACATAGCCAGTATGTTACTCTCCCTACCCTAGATGGATTTTCCTTGTGTTGTCTCTTGAAATGAGCTTATGATATTTCAATAAGTAAAATAATAATGCGTTTTCTACAGAAAATGTAGCGCACAGCCCACCACCCATTTACAAAATCATGAATTTTCCCATGATATTTAATAATCACCTGAAATAATCTATATTTACTTGTTTTTAACTGTTTTTGCCTGTCAGAACATTAGCTTCCTCAGTAAAGAGCCTTGTTTTCTTTAGAGACATGCATCTAGAAGTCAGATCAGTGTCTGGTACAAAATAGGACATCAATAAGTACCTGTAGAATATATGAGTTTTAATAAGTTGAAATTATAAAATCACTATAGTTATAAACTCTTTTTCAGTAAATTTGGACAATAGCCAAATGTATATTTATTGATGAAATTTAGTTTCTTATTTGATGAAAATACTGACCAATTTATACCATCTTGTGTTTCCAAAGACAATTTGAGTGAGTTCTGTGATTTGAATGAAATTATCCAAACTTATAGGCATGAAGATGTATTTTAAATTCACTGCAACAAACTCATGTCCAATAAGTAAAGTCTCAATTATAAAAGTCATTTACTACTTTCTTAGACACAGTATTATAAAACCAACAGACCATAAAAATGGATGCAATCCAAAAAAAAAAAAATGAGAAGAGAGTTTGCCTGTTGCGTGCAGTGTATATTTATGATATGAATAAGGTGACTTGTACCATACGATTATTAGGTGGTAATGACAGAAAGGCCAGTAGTTTTAGCATTGCTATGTGATTATACATAAATCAATTTTCTGTTTAAACAGTGTTAGCTCTCCATTATCTATAATTAACGTCAATCTGAATGATTTTTGCAAAGACCATGTAACAATTTAATTAACTCAATTCACATATGCAATAATACCCTCCCCATCCACACCTACCATACTTCACAAATTACATGTTAAAACAAATAACCTGACATACTCATTTGGCAACTTTTCCCTGTGAACCTTGTATCACAGTTGACTTTCTCAGGCTCCATCCAGGGATTTCCATCTTACCAATTCTTTCTTGTGTTACTTTTCTCACTTCAGGGCCTACCAAGAACTGATTCCTGATTCTAGTAGCTTGGTTCTAGAGGGCATTGAGTTCCCAAAACTGGGGACCTCAAGCATACTTGGTAAGTAAAGGCCCATTGTGTGCACACACTGCAGCCCAGGGTGGGAGGAAGGTGGGGACAGTGGTAGAGGGAGAGGATAGGTCTTTGTAAATATGAAATCTGGGAAAACTTCCATCATAAGAGTATAAAAGAGGAACCTAGACTGAAGGGACAAAAGAACACTTGAAGAAAGGGGACATGTCCAAGCACTCCCTTCTTATTTCTTCCTATTCTCCTCAGGAATCCTGAATGTCTTACATCAGTTTTGTCTTCAAAATAAACTTCATGCCTCTAAATTCAGAGGCCAAAAGAAGCTGTCATCACTTAACAAAATATTCAATCTTTATACTCCACACTTAAAACTCAAAACAAATGAGCACTGATAAGTTGCTCATTTAACTTAATAAATTATCTAAGTCCAGTAATTATATCAACAATAGCATAGTTGATAGTTGAATAGTCTTTTCACAGTAACAGAATAACAAGCAGAAGAGAAAGAGAGGGGGAAGAGAGAGGTAGAGAGGGGGAAGAGAGAGAGAGAGGGAGAGAGAGAGAGTATTTGTATATTTACTATTATCCAGCTCTGTGTTAAAAATATATCATCAAAACAATTGTTGTTTAAGTATCACTATTTCAATTTTGGAAATGAGGAAATTTAGTCAAATGAGAACAAGTACAGGTAACGGTCAGGGATAGTCCACGTCATACATAGATGTGTTGAGAGCATTTTATTTGTAACTGAGGAACTGAAACAATATGATATTAGGGCTGAATTGAGTGGCAGCTTCTGGTGGAGATTTATGTAAAAGAGGTGCTATCACATCACTATTCATACACAGAAATCAAGTAAATCCTGTTGCTGGCACTCAATACAGAGAGTGCATGCTGTGTGTTTTAGTAAGAGCTAACACTGAACGCTCATAAGGTGCAGGACTCTCCTGGTTTTATTTATTCATTTTATTTTTTGACTTTTCTTGCCTATTTTTGATCATTATTAGTAGAATGGGCTAAGTTGGCCAAATAAAGAGAGAACAGATGACAGAGGTAGCAGCAGAGTGGTAGCAGTGGTGAAAGTGGCAGCAGCTACTGACCTAGAAGTGGCAGCAGTGATAATGGTAGTTCAGTAGCACTGAGTGAGCAGTTAAAGAATTTTAGAGTGTGGCCAGGGGCAGAAAGAATGTGGGCAGAGGCAAAAGAGACAATGAAGGGTCACTGATGAGAAACCACAGGTAACTGGAAGATTTCCAGGGAGCTGCCAAGCCTTAAGGGTCAAAGGTTCCAACACTGTGGGCCTGAGATATAATACTTGCTGTTGTAGGATCTGGGGATCCCAATACCTGATGCCAGCCCAGCAGCTGTCACACTAGCTGACACTGCCTGCTGCTGTTCAATGCTACTGGTGGTTAAAGTCCAAAGCAATAAGCTCCAACCTGGGACTCCTCTAAGTTTGATGTGCGTTATCTCATCAAACACTGACAACAACTCTATGGGGTATGTGTTTTTATTATTAGCATTATGATTATTATCATTATGATTATTTTATGTTGCAGTAAAGTGAAACTGAGAGGTTAAGAGTTCAGACTAAATTTTCACAGACAGCAAGATGTGTAGTGTGTCCTGCTTCAGATCTGCCTTATATTTCTTTAGAGCCAGTGCAATATCACATGCCATGTGAGGATGAAGTGGTACTTTAAGAAGCTATTTAGGAAAAAGGAGATGAGATCTCTCAAAGAATTTGCTTCCACAGCAACCAATGATGCTAAACTATCTTTCAGGAGGAATGGATACAATTAATTGTAGTCAGAGACATTAAAGTTTGGAACCAGAGCTGATTTGGTTGGAATCACAGGTCTGCTCAGCTCTGGGGGAATGGTAATGGTGACTTTCCTCATCTGTCACTCCTCTTCATGCCTCAGCCCTCATCCTTTCCATGAAATGAAACACCAAATACATATTTCCAGAATATCAAGAGTATCAAATTATTAGTCAATCTAGAATTCTGACACCCTTATCTTTATCTGGTTTTAAAACTAAAATGTGTGACTTTCCCATAACTACTTAGAATTTAATCAAGAAATAAGAAGTTCTAAGAATTTTATCTAGGCACAGTATAGAATGTATAGAAACACTATATTTGAAATGTGTGATGCCTGTATTTCATAGAATTACTAGTAAAATTAAATATCAAAGCTGAAATGCTGTCATGGTATGTTGCCCAAATTCCTATTTTATGGATAGGCACCTGGTACACAACACCTGACTTTTACCAGTTTGCTGACTGCATAGGTGAAGGGAACTGAGGTGTAGACCTCAAACAACTTGTCTACTTCCATTGCAGACTTAAATTGGAGACTCCCTCAAGCTAGCTCAGAGCTTTCCTTTTGAAACGCACTGTCTTGAACTTTATTTCTATAAGTGATATCTCAACTTTCCTTTGGTCATTTTTCCTCAGGTTTGAATAGTTACCCAATAGTAACCTATGTCAAACTTTTTTTTT